TCCTACTGCTGACTCCTGGAATAATTACTCCCTATCTCTGACTAATATCCTTGTAACGCAGCCTACTGGCTTTTTCAGCTTTATGGATCACCTATTTAACTTTGTGTTTTGGAAAATGAGGATTAAGCTCTCTTTCAAACCTCATCTCATCTACAAACCCAAAACTTCATTCCTCCAACCTTTTGATACAATTACATTTTAATTTTGACAAGCTCAGTAGCCTTGCTTTACATTATTAGCTCTCTGTACAGACTGTTCACAGCTGTAGAAAGTTGCCTGCTAGGCTTACTTTTTTCTTCCCTTTGTTTTACCTGGAGTTAATAATCATCTTGGTGGTTCATAAGTTAGATTTCTGTGCACTTAACAATTCAACCCCAGACCTTCCCCTAATGAATAACTTTCTCAATACTTTCCAATACATTGTCTACAAATTTCATCTCCTTGAATAAATCTCTTCAGATCTCCTTCAATCTTGATTAACGACATGCTAGTCTTGTCACAGACCTCAAGGGGCCACGAGTGGGAAGCAACAAAGGGAACACATGGACCAGGGGCAGGGAACAGATCAATATATTTTCCTTAGCAAAACATACTTAAAATAGTGGGACAATTGTTTTCTTTATAAACACAGACATAAAACCCAAAAGCCCATAAAGAATGATTAAACAGCCGTCAAACCCATTGCCCTGCCATCAAATTCTGTATAACAAAACAAAAATAACAGAAGGAAAATATCATATAAATATGAATCTCAAGGGGGATGGGGTACACTCAGTGGCAGTGTGTGAACTCAGTATGCATAAGTTCCTGGATTCAATCTTCAGTACCTCCATTAGAAAAAAAATTAAAAAGAAAAGAAAAATGTATCAACTTTAAATATTTACATATGTACAAACATCCTCTTTTAAAACTGTCTTCTACAGGATAACCGGGATTAAGGAGAAAGTGCCTCTTCATGACTGTGATCCTGCTGATAACTGAGTGAGGAAATTAGTGTATGACCTCATGAAATAAAATCTCTTATGAAATAATGATCCCAGGTGACAATCATTATTGGCTGCTATCATCAAAAAAAGAGAGTCAACTGGAAATTATGTACCTTATGACAGGAGTACAAAACTTCACATAACAATTATTCTTGCACAAAGTTGAATCTCAATCAGATCAAGCTTTTAGGGGAGGATCAAATCACTGAGCTAAAGCAAATACATAGGATGGAGAAACAAATCTAACACCACAGGGGAGAATGAATTCAGCCAAACAGGAAATAGAGAAACCCCTCAGGAATTCCAAGGAAATGAGAAACAGGAAAATTTTCGATTAGTACCCACTTGAGACATATACTAGCTGCAATATCTGAACCTAGTCTGGATCCCGATTTGAACCCCAAAACAACTTAAAAGTGTATTTTTGTGACAATCAGGGAATTACTTTGTAACCCTAAATAAAAAAGGAATATTCCAATTGTATTTGAAAGAGACCTTGTCATTTCACTAATGAAAGGTTAAGCTATGTAGGATTGTCTTCAAAATGATCCCGTAGAGGGGGAGGGGAGGAGGTAGAGATGAAAGATGCAACAGCAGTGACTCTGAGTTTATAATTCTGGAGCTGGGTGACTGATACAGGCAGGCTGGCTGTGCTGTTCTCTCTACTTCTGTACATGTTTGAATCTTTCCATAAAATGTGAAACAAACAAAAAGATTTCAGTGTTTTAAAACCCTCACTTTGAAGGTTAAGAGGTTTGCCCTAGTAGGTGGGCACCTGCATGGGGCACTGAGATTAGGAAGATCAGGCACCTGGCTCCAGGCCGAGCTGGGGCTACCTTGACCCTCCTCTTCTCCTCACCACCCACAGCCAGCCCATAAATGCATCCTGTCAGCTCCACTCCCCAAACGCATTCCTCCTTGGCTCCCACCATCTCCCATCTGGCCCACTCCAGGAGCCTCCTACCCTGCCTCCCTGCTTCCTGGGTCCCTGCAATTCATTCTCCAAATTATCGTTGTAAAATGTGAGTGAGAGAAAATTACTTTAGTGCCTAAACTATCATGACTTTTTCTCACTACACTTAGAGTCTACACTCCTTTCCGTGCTCCTGATGCCCTTCTAAACACCGCGTCTCATCACTCTCACCAGTGCTGGCTCCAGTATCTCCTCAAACCTGCTGAGCACATTTGTGCCTGGGGGCCAATGGACAAGCTGCCTCTATTCCTGGGGTGACTTTTCCCAGATCCCCAGAGTCCAACCTCCTTATCACCATCTCAGCTCACATGTAACCTACTCAAAGATAGCTTTCTTGACTCACTTCCCCCCAAGACTCCCATCTCAACACTGTGTTATTTTCTTCATTTCAATCTGACATTGTTTCCTTATTTGCCCAATTATTTTTGTTTGCTCGGTTTTCCTTGGCCTCCCTCCCCCCAGCAGCCTTGCCCAAAGAGCATAAGCTCACGGGGAGCAGCCGGCACTGCTGCTCTGAGAAGACACATGCTGAGCACGACATTACAGTCACGTGGTGTAGTGAACCGGTGTCGAACAGCAGATACAGCAAAGCAGTGAGAATTTCTCTCTTATTATATAATTTAAGCGAAATCTAACATTTACTCCTGTTTAATGAAGAATTTGGTAGGTCTTTGGTCCCAGTTCCTGGATGGCAACCCTTAAAGCTTTGAAATTTCCCAAGATAGGAGTGTCTTTGCTATTCATGGTGGAAACTTGGATGGCTTGTGTTCATGAGATGACTCAGGATGGGGACTGGCCAGGCAGATACACCAACCATGTGATTAGAGGAGTGGGGCTTTGAGCTTTGTGACAAGTGAGTGACCACCAGGAGAGAAAGGGGCTCAGCGGTTAGGGCTAATGAAAAGTTTGACTTACAGTTAGGGTTTGGGTTCTCCATGTCGGTAGTGACCCAATAAATCATGTCTTTGTTATAAAGCCTCCAGCAAAAACTTGGGGCAACAAAGCTCAGAGCTCCTGTGAGCTTCCTGGTTGGTAACACTCTTGGAGAACTGTCACCTTCAGATGCCATGAGGGCAACCTTGAGCCCTTCCCACTGGAGTGCTCTCCACAACAGCTCACCTGATGAGATCTAACGGCTGCTTCTTGTCTATGCTTCAAGGAGGATCCCATTCCCTGTACAGAAGTCCCTGTTCCCTGGGGCAGCTGAGGTCCTCTGACGGAGGCTGAAGTTGCACTGGGAAGCAGAAGCAAACAGGTGAGTGTCACTATCACCACGTGTCTA